ACTTTAGGTTAGCTGGAAAAACCAACACCTCTCCTAAGCCCAGGATAAGGATCTAGGCTACAGGACGTTTGGCTGGAAAAACCAAACACTTTACTCTAGGTTGGCAGGAATAACTAACTTAGAGGTTGGTTGGAATAACCAACACCTCTCCTAAGCCCAGGATAAGGATCCAGGCTACATGACGTTTGGTTGGAAAAACCAAACACTTTATTCTAGGTTGGCAGGAATAACCAACTTAGAGGTTGGCTGGAAAAACCAACACCTTTCCTAAGCCCAGGATAAGGATCCAGGCTGCAGGACGTTTGGTTGGAAAAACCAAATACTTTACTCTAGGTTGGCAGGAATAACCAACTTAGAGGTTGGCTGGAAAAACCTGTTTCATAAAAAATCTGGACAGGTTTCAAGTAAAATCTAGACCTGTAAAACCTGTTTCATAAAAAATCTGGACATGGGACAGGGATAGGGTGTTCATAAAAAATCTGGACACATTAGTCTTCAAAATGATCAAGTAAAACCTGTTTCATTTTAGAAGATAGATAGATAGATAGATATAGGTTTTCATAGTTTACCTTTTCATTTAATGGGAAAACTTGTTTCATTTTAAGACATGAAGAAAAAAAAATATTGGTTTCCATTCAAGTGAATCAAAGTAAAGTTCTTGTAAATAACAAAGACACGAAGACTGCAAGAATTCATCTTCATATATAAATGATTTCAGAGAAAATTTTCAATTTGAGAATTTTGTGACTGCATTTGATGGTCTTTAATGCAGTGCAATCCTTTACATTGTATGATCACATTCCCAACTTGTGCAATGATTGAATTAAATTGTTAAAAGTTTTTTGTTTTGTTAAACTCTTTCTCAAAAAGAAATTATTTCTAGAATGCTTGTTGCTAAACCAATGTGAAACTTGTTGAGAACTCTTGGGATACCTTATTCATAATTTTGGATAAATGTGTTGAAGTGAAGCTCTAGTAATTAAAATCACAGATTAATCCACTTTTAAAAAAGGCTGAATGTGGGATCCTTTTTCTTTACTTTCTGTTGTATGTTAGTTGGTAATTCTTTTGACATTTAAGGTTTCCCCTATAATCTTTTATTGCTCCACTTGGGTTTTTGCCTGTGTTTTGAAATGACTTGTAGTTATTGAGCGATAAGTCCTGTTTTTTATTTTCCATCTTTCCTTTCAGAATCTGCTTCTTGCTTATTCCTTGTGAGAAAATTAGCTTCTCAAGTAACAGCTGCCTAGTGGATGCTAAAACAGAATGAGAAAGCAATATTAACAAGTAGAAATGTCGGCCCCATTATGTACTTTTAGTTATTTTTATTAGCTTTAAGTATCTTTATAGTTTGTGTTATATATCACTTTGCCATATTCTGGTCAAGGATAAAAAAAAAGTCCTATATCTAAAGAAACTTGGTGGTGGTGTGA